TTTTATAGCAGAGCATTATGGCATTTAACAGAAAACCAGGCTAATCAAAAGCAAATCAATCGCTCTTCTCCCAGCAGTGTCTTGTACAGATGAGCTTCTGGTGAAAGATGGTCCTTCCAAAGGAAATCATGTGAAACGTTTGTCATGGCTTTCTGCCTTAGTCTGCAGGTAGAGAGAACCGTGGCAGGAATGCCTGGCTTTCTAGTCACTCATTACATGTACAGTTATCATGCACATTCAAATGAGCCTCATCCCTGGGTGGAGTGAAACCTGCATCCAATCCTGTTTGCCTGTAATAACTTGGTTGTCGGTAGTGTCATGAGAAAGTGTAGCATTGTTGTAGGATTCATTCTAGACAAACTGTTGCTGGAAGCATGGTTTTGTTGGTAATCTGGAATTTGTTGATAAGATGGACTGTGGGGAGCTGATGCTGCTTCCCTTACCTATGACCATGCCACTCTAGAGCATGCTGAACTCCGAACCCCGGCCTTTGCTAAGGAATTGCACTAGTGTAAGCGTGACAAGGTGCTGAGCCGGAAGAGCGCGGAATCCGCCCCCTGCCATGCCAGCCCCATCTAAGTGAATAAAGTGGAGCTGGCTAGGACCTGCCCTAAGTGGGGGAATGAGAGCCAGCCGCCAGCCTGGGGCTATACAAGAGGCTGGGAAGAAGGAAGCAAAGGTGGGACAAGAGGAGAGTGAGGGGGTGCAGGCAGAGAGAAAGCTCTTCCCTCCTGGGTTCAGACACGAGGAACCCAGAGCTGTGCACGCTGTATGGTGAGAAGGTGATGGAAGCACAAACGTGTAAATAAAAGCACCAGTGGTTTCAGAATCCGAGGGTCTCTGAGTGACTTTATCTCAGCCCGGCAGGAGCCAAGGGGGCCCTGCTGTGAACGGTTACTGTAAGAAATGACAGGTATCTTCTTCATGTTCTATGATCAGGGGCTGAAATCTTCTTCAATGTCGCTGTTTCTATACATGCACATTCCCAAATCCTGTCCGGAGTTGGTGTGGGAGTGGTTTTCCATAGCTGCCTTCACAAACCAGTAATTACTGACCGGGGTTCTTCACATGTCTTGGCAATGTGACATTTGATGGATGATCGCTCAAGTAGTGCTTGTATTGTGGTACTACTCAGCTATTCTCTCTCCCCCGCCGCTCCCCAAATCAGGGCTCCGTTCTGTTTGGGTGAACAGCCTCTCGGAAGCTGCTCCGGCTCCAAAGAGATTACAATCTAAAGTGGTTTGTCCTGCAGGAAATCTCCTAGGTAGCTCAACCTGAAAGCAAGATTAGTCCTACGTGAAGTTCTGAAGTCGCTTCCAAACCCCCTTGCTACCCGCAGAGTTTCTTTAGGGTCAGAAAGCTCAAGGTTCTGTTCTAACTCCTCAGTGTCCCTACAGCGCAGTTAGGTACAATCCTGAACAGAGTTCTCCCAAAGCAAGCCATTTTCCTGTAGGCCATCTCTGGCAGCCCAAGCTGGACTGCTCCTCACAGCTTGTCAAGTGCCACCTGGACATGTGTGCACTGCCAGTCTGGAGCAGCTGGGAATCCTAATGACCAAGTCCAATCCGTGGCTGGGTGAAATGTTGGCTGAGAAACGATTCTATCTAAGTCGGTCTTTGCAAATGAAGATATTGACAGCTGAGCTCTGTGACCTGGGGTCCTGGAAGTGTACTGCTTGAGAAGGCTTGGGCAAGAGTTTCTTTTCAGGAAACTACCAAAAGGGAGTCCTGCCGGTCATGCTTGGGATGCCAACCCAGGAAGACAACACTGGCTTTTCGAAGCTTCCCCTAGACTGCCCTTCGTCAAACCGGAAGCGCGTTCACTTATGAAGCTGAAGTGCTGATAAGGAAATAACTGTTTTCATATCTGATTGGGCTAAATTCTTCACTGTGGCTAAAATGATAAAATCTATATTAAACAAAGAGAAAGGAAAAGGGAGCCTTTAACAGCTGCAAGCCAAGGTAATTATCCTTCCCCTACAGTGAATAGCGCTATGTGGCTGGGGGAGGCACAGTTGTGGGGCTTTCATGTGTGTGGGGCTTTGTCTGTTTTGTGTGATACAGCAACTTGCCTGTCGCTTTTACTCATGCCTTTGGGATAATCGTATACATTTGCAGTATTGGGTTAATATTGCACCTCTACTGTAAGAGGAACAGAACTGTGACAAACCAGTATAAATAGACCAGTGCACTGGGGTCAAACACTCTGGATGATAACATACGGTGTGTGTGTGTGTGTGTGTGTCATACTGAGACTAATGCCTTTAAATCAAAAAAACATTGCATGTATTGGGATGGTGAAGAGCAGGAGTAGCAGCTTAGCATGGGCTGGACTGAAGTGACAGACTGGACAGGGATTGAAAGCATACGGTGTAACCTCAGTTACAACCCCAGAGTTACAAACGGACTTGTCAACCACACACCTCCTTTGGAACTGGAATTACGCAATCCGGTAGCAGCAGAGACCGTTACAATACTGTTAAACGTAAACTACTAAAACATAAAGGTTTGACAAGGTAAGCAAGCTGTTTCTGGGCTTGTTTCATTTAAATTAAGATGGTTTAAAAGCATTTTCTTCTGCATAGTAAAGTTTCAAAGCTGTATTGTCAATGATCAGTTGAAAACTTTTGAAAGAATCATGATGTTTTGTTCAAAGTTATGAACCCCAGGAATAGAGGATTTTCCTAACACTTGGAGGTTCTACTATCTAAAGTTAATATAACCCTTGCTGCCCACTGCATATGCCAAAATTGATAACTGGTTGATTTGGTCATTGCTCCCACTTCTCCATACTAGCAGTGTTAGTAGCAATCACTAGAGCGCCTGTTAATTTCTATAAAAACAACAAAGAGTCTGGTGGCACCTTAAAGACTAACAGATTTATTTCAATAAATCTGTTAGTCTTTAAGGTGCCACCAGACTCTTTG